CGAGAGAGCGAAGTACCGGTTCGCCGAAATGTTGGGAGGCGATTCCGGTGTCGGCGGTGGCAGCTCGAAATCAGGTGGGTGCCTCTGGGGTGAGTCGGTCCAGGTAGGGGCAGTGGGGTCGTTGTCCTGCCTGGGCGCAACAGGGTTGATGGGGTCATCAATCGCGAATGTTACTCGATCGTAGTATCGAAAACCTCTGTTGCGGCGAGCCATGCAGCTCATGATTGTCCCCTTGCTTTTGTCCTTGGTCGTAATGCGTGCAGGTGTCTGCGAGGTGCTTGCGACGGAGGGAGGCGAGACGGTGGTTGTTGCGGCAGAAAATGAAGAAGGGTTTGAAGGGTTATTGCGCCTTTCGTCGGCTGCCTTTCGCTTGTAGCACCGATCAATAGTGTGCCCAGGCTTCTTGCAGTACTTGCAGAAAGTTCCTTTCTTTCCGTGCTGCTCCCCTTCGGTTGCTCCAACGTAGAAGACTAATTTCTCCCGCTTGGTGTTCTTCTCGTTGTACAGGTCGATCTCCTTTTGCTCGGAGAGAAGTGTTGCGCACAGGGCCGATTCGGAGACAGTTGCTCGAGCACGGAGCAGAGATTGGCATTGGCGCCAGTCGGGTCCGAGGCCGGAGAGGACCATTGAGACGAACATGTCGTCTGGGACTGATCCGCCGCACTTCTTGATGTGGTCGCGCAGATTGCGGCACCGGTTGATATATGGTCCCGCTTTCTCCCCATTGATACATTTTGACCGATGTGAGCTGGCTGAGAAGGCGACTCATTGTAACTGGATCTGTTGCCATGTATGAGTTGCGCAGGTGCTCCCAGGAGGAGTACGCAGGTGCCCACTCTGATTTGTAGGAGCGAATGCCGAGCTGTTCGTCGGGGGAGAGATTTCGGAGCAGAGTGGTGTACGCGAGAAGAGATTCGTGGTAGTATTGGTTCTTCTCTTGGATGGTGCCTTCCGTTAGAAACGGTAAGCTCCCGTCGTAGTACATCCAGATTTGCGCATTTGTAGCGAGAAGCTCAAACTCGAAGCTCCAAGTGTAGAAGTCCTTTCCGTCGAAAGGAACTGACGTTTTCAGCTTTGATGTCAGAACGAATTTTGTCTGTATTGTTGCAATCGTGTCTGCGTGTGCGCGCTGTTGACTGTCTTGCGCAGGAGCTGAAGCTTGACGGTTGTCAAACGTGAATGATCTCTCAGAGTTGACGCGGCGGTCTTCTCCAGGGAGAGGAAGTCCAGCAACCCCACGTGCAAAACTTGAGCCATCGATGCTCATGGCTTGATGGCTTTCAAGAGCATTGATGCGGGCGACCAGCTGCTCAACGAGAGCGGCGCTGACGGATGTCACCGCAGATGGTGCAGTGGGTGTTGCTGGTGGTGGGCCCGGAGATTCTGCAGTGGCTTTCCCTTCTGGAGCCATAGTGATGCAGAGTCTTTGATGAAGTAATGAATAATTTATAAGGAGTTTGTTCTAGCAAGAACAAGAACTTAGCAGGCTTTATAATCCACTCTAGCTCTCATACCATGATGTTATAACTGAAAAACGCATTGACACCCTTGTTGTACGGTGTACAGCTCGGTTGAAATGTTGCGGTACCAGTCAGGGAATTCGCGCACAGTTGATGGGTACCACGCAGGGAAGATGGGTACCACGGAGGGAAGATGGGTACCACCAAGGGGCGCGCATGATCTGACGGGTACCATCGAGCCACGTAGGTGACTTTTGACGTCAGCGGGCTCAATGTTGGTTACCCAGAATGTAATTACCCTTTTTGGGATGATGAGGTCAGGTGCATTATTCGCCGTGCGCGATGTGGGCAATCTGGCGGGTTCCATCAATTGGCTGGAGTTCGCGCGTGATGGTGATGGTGCTGTGACGGCTCCCCGACCCGAGCCGTTCACTTGTGATGGTGTAAAAATCTGTCCGAACCCAATGACACGCGTAGTATTCTCTGTATAGCACGTATGCTAGACGTCCGTCAAGAGGTTGACATAAGTATCCCCTCGAGGAAACGCCCCTAGTGATTTCCAGGAAGCGTTTGAAACAGTGGCGCCGACAGTTTTGTTGCCCGGAAATGCTCTGGCCGTAACTTTTTGGATGCCACGTACCCAATCGCGAAACAGTTCTCGCTCATCGTGCGGGGGAAAGCTGAACGGGGGAGACTGGGGGAAGGGCGGGGCAGCGCTGGGCAGCCACTCCTGTCCACTCACCACCGCGCGCCTGTTCACTTGTCAGCCAAGAAAGGATAACGTTCATGATGTGCAGTTTCGCCTCGCAACGCAACCATTCCCTCTTGTGGCTGCAGAGTCACTCGTTTGTGCGGCCTAAGCAGACGAACCGTTGTGAGGGTTGATTATGTGGCTGGTTGGCTGGAGACGACTCAGGTGCGAGTCGCCTTCGTGCGGACGTGGCCAATCTGACAGGCTCCATCATCGAGCGAGTTCAAGCGTGCTAGTACAGTATGTATAGAGTGTATCTACGAGGAGACGGCTCCCCGAGCCGTTCAGGCGTTACTCGCGGGTGGTGGTATCATCTGGCGGGCTCAACTGGCCGAGTTCACCATCGGATGGTGGTATAATCTGTCCCAAATGACTCCTCGAAGGCGGCGCTGTTACGGACGATTCACAACATTGAAGTTGGCGAGGTATATCTAGAGTACCACATACAAATGAGACGGCTGTTTCCCCGAGCCGCCTCAGGCGGCTGGTTCCTAGCAGTCACGCTCCGCTCGGAAAAACATTCCCCCATCAGCGGAGTCCCCCCACTGCCCCCTCCAAGGCTGAGTAGTGAAGTTAGGTTTTGCTGGCGGCCCGGAGCCGCCGGTGGAAGAAATATGCGCAAGTGTCCTCGCACATCCGTGACGGGCGTGTTTTGAGTCGCTCAAAACACGTTTCCTCTCATCCGGTGGCGGACTGTGCACCGTTGGGTGAAGCCTTTCCGCGGCCTCGGTCGTATTTCAGCTTTCCTTTCCGCGCCACCATTCAACGTACTAGTAGCCGCGAAGCCCATAGCGGCTTGCTCACATTTCCGGTCAGTAACCCATCCGATGAGTCATCGACCCTTTGGTGGCACATTCATGCCTTGGCTTTCGCTGCATGATGAGCGCCGCGCTCTCTCTCGCTCGCGCTCTTGCTCTGTGAGGAACATGATCATCACCAGGCCAACTTTCGGCTGCGGCCGCCGCATTGGGCTTGGAGCGCTGCTGGCGACACTGATGCTCGTAGCAGGTGAGGACTCCGACCCTTGGAGTCGAAGGACGTAAATCTCATGTTGTAATAAGCGTCGTTGCCGTTCCAACTTGGAGCAGCTAGTAATGATCGCACTGCTGCTGACTGTCGCCGACGATCGTCGGTGCTGCTGTTGATGATCGTAGCTCGTGGTGATAGTCCCCCGCCCATGATGGTGATTCGTCGCTCATGATGGTGATTCGTCGCCCATGATGGTGATTCGTCGCCCATGATGGTGATTCGTCGTGATTCGTCTCCCATGATGGTGATTCGTCGTGATTCGTCTCCCATGATGGTGATTCGTCGTGATTCGTCGCCCATATGGTGATTCGTCGTGATTCGTCGCCCATATGGTGATTCGTCGTGATTCGTCGCCCATATGGTGATTCGTGTGATTCGTCGCCCATATGGTGATTCGTCGTGATTCGTCGCCCATATGGTGATTCGTCGCCCATATGGTGATTCGTCGGCCATGACCGTCGCCCATGACCGTCGGCCATGACCGTCGCCCATGATGGTGATTCGTCGCCCATGATGGTGATTCGTCGCCCATGATGGTGATTCGTCGGCCATGACCGTCGACCATGACCGTCGCCCATGACCGTCGCCCATGATGGTGATCATCAGCAGTGATGATCCACGCACGAGAATCGTGATTCTTGCTGCCGTCAATTGAGAACCGCCATCGTCGCTGGTGGCAATCGCCGCCGTGCCTCTCCTCTGCTCTGCCTATCTTCCCTTCCTCCGCCCTCCCTAGTTGCATTCATCAGGCCGAGGCTGATCGGCTGGTTGCCAAGATTCTTCCTTCCTTCCTTTCCCTCCCTAAACCCTAAACCTTCCCATCTCTATCTCCAACTCCCCTCCCCTCCGTCCCCCTCTCCTCTCCTCTCCTCCCCTTTCCTTCCAGCAGTCATGCCTCACGCTAAGGCTGTCCGTTTGTCGCCAGCGAAATCACCAGCCTGTCCTAAGGGGAAATCGTGGAGAGCTGACGTGCAAGCCTGTGTCTGTGAGTTGATGCACTCTGCTGTCGCCTCGCCTGCTGCTGCTGCTGCCGCCACGCCTGCTGCTGCCGCTGCTGCTGTCACCATTGCCGCTGTTGCTGCTGCTGCTGCTGCTGCTGCTGCTGCTGCTGCTGCTGCTGCTGCTGCTGCTGCTGCTGCTGTTTCAATCTATCATGCAAGTTCTCTCTCCCTGCTGTGATCCGTCAGAGAGAAGCAGCCGTAGCCAGGCCTGCTCTACACCGGGTCTCCTGCCTCTCACCCTCCCAATCTTCGCGCCCGTCTACCCCCTGCGCTACGCTCCTCTGCCGTGCCCACCAGCCGCGTGCCGCGATGTCAGGGACTGCAAAAAGACCTCTGGCTACTGCGTCCATGGAATGTGCCTGTGCAAGACTGGCCTCGTGATGCTCCCCGATGAGACATGTGCCTGTGAGTGGCTATGCTGAGAGCTGGAGTGAGTGACTATGCTGAGGGCTGGTGTGAGTGACTATGCTGAGGGCTGGTGTGAGTGACTACGTTGAGGGTGACATCCCTTGCCCCATGTCGCCCATCTGGCCCCTTGTGCTCCCTTGCTCTCTCCCCCCCTGGCACCTCCTCTCCCATGCCCTCCCTTCGCCCCACACCTCTCACCCGCCCCATGCCCCAACATCGCCTGTAACGGTGCAAGAGCAGCGGCGGTGAAAGAAAATAGCAGATAAAGTCGCGAGTAATGACTTTTGAAGGGACTCAATTGCTGCCTCCCATGCGTGCCCTTGCCTCCCCTGCTGTTACCCCTGCACCCAGTACCATGCGACCGGAACGAGTGTGGATCCGATGCCGTGTGTTACAAGAATGCCAAAGGGAGCAACACGTGCGCTTGTAACAGTGGTTACACCATGACTCCCTTGGGCTGCAAGGGTGAGTAATGCTGCAGTGGCGTGCAAATAGCCGTGGCCCTCAGTGCAGAGTCACACGGTGCGTCTCACGGCTATTTGCACAGCCAAATGGTGAGTCCCCTTTTATCGCTTCCACACGGTGCTGCTCAATGCGAGGCTTGGGTGTTTCCGGCTCAGCTGACCTTGCTTCCTCATCTCATCTCCCCCCGTGCCTTGAGTGAGAGTCATGCTTGCAAACCAGCTCTCCTCACTTCCTCTCCATCACTGCCTCCTGTGCCTTTCCCTCCCTTCTCTCCCCTCTCCCCTCAGAGCCATGCGCTGTGAACAAATGTGGAGCGAATGCCTTCTGTTACAAGAATGCAGGAATGAGTGACACATGTGGTTGCAACAATGGGTTCACCATGACTTCCAATGCTCGCTGCATCGGTGAGTGTTGCTGGAGTCGCTTCATGGCTGGCTGGTGTGCCTATGGCACTGTGTGTGTCTCCCTCTCTCCTTCGCTCTCTCCTTTCATCTCTCCTCCACCCAACTACCCATCCCGATCGCTCATTCTCTTTAAAATCCTCACGCGTTGACCCCGAGCCCCCCATTCCCTTGTTATCTCCCCCCCCCCCCTCGCCCCCCCCCCCCTCTCCGATATTCCTTCCAGACTCGTGCATTGTGCAGAACTGTGGTGGCAAGACCACCTGTGTCAAGGGCACAGGTGACCAGGCATGGTGCATTTGCAAGCCGGGCTTCAGAAATGTGTCTGGGGCATGCATCGGTACGTAAAACAACATGCCGGCTGCGTGGCACGTGTATCATCATTCGGTTTGGGCTTGTGTCTTCCTCTTCCAGCCTGTCTTAAGGGGAAATTGTGGAATGCGGACGTGCAAGCCTGTGTGTGTGAGTTGATGCACTCTGCTGCTGCCACGCCTGCTGCTGCCACTGAAGCTGCTGCCACTGCTGCTGCCGTCATTGCCGCTGTTGCTGTCTCGGCCCCATTGCTGTTGCTGCTGCTGCTGCTGCTGCTGCTGTCGCAATCTAACATGCAAGTTCTCTCTCCCTGCTGTGATCCATCAGAGAGAAGCAGCCGTAGCCAGGCCTGCTCTAGAACCGTGTTCTCCTGTCACCCCCCCAATCTTCTGCGCCCGTCCACCCCCTGCGCTACGCTCCGCTCTGTGGTGCCTCCACCAGCCACGTGCCGCGATGTGAAGGACTGCAAGAAGACCACTGGCTACTGTGTTGATGGACTCTGCTTGTGCAAGCCTGGCCTAATCGTGCTCCCCGATGAGACTTGTGCCTGTGAGTGACTATGCTGAGCTGAGGGGTGCTATCTCATGCCTTATGTCCATGCGCCATAGACAATGATACTCCATGCTCCATGCCCCGTTCCCGGTTTCCATGATCCTATATTCCATGCGCCATGCCCCGTGCCGCATGCACCATTCACGGTTGACTAAACTGCATTGTGAGGCGTGCGCTAGTGGCCGTTGAGTGACACACATGAACCTGCACTTGCTCTTCATCGCTTCTCCCCTTGCCCTTCTTGCTCCTCTCGTCCTCCTCGGCTCCCTTGCCCCATGTCGCCCATCTGGCCCCTTGTGCTCCCTTGCTCTCTCCCCCCCTGGGCACCACCTCCACTGGGGTTGAGCAAAGGGCGAACACGAACATGTTCGTGTTTGCCGAACACCTCCAACGAAAAAGGGTGTTCGGTGTTCGCCTTCACAGGCGAACACCAAGGTGTTTGGCCCGAAAACGAACATGTTTGGGGCGAACATGTTCGTGTTCGTTTTGTAGGCTCATTTCGTTTTAGTCCCACAACATTCCCGTGTGGAAATTACACGGGTTAAAATTGACATTGGTTTCCAGTACAACTCAAATCGTGGCACCCGTTCCCCCCCACCCTCCTGCCATCAGATCTGACGGCGAAATGCCAGATCCGCGCATATTTGACGGCGAAATGCCAGATCCGCGCATATTTGACGGCGAGATGCCAGATCCGCGCAGATCTGACGGCAAAAATGGCCCTTGGCACCTTCGATCAGAGGACATTCGCGACGAACACATTTGTGTTCGTCGCTGCTGGAAAACGAACACGAACATGTTCGACCCGAACACTTATGGCAAAAAAAAAAGAACTGTTCGGTTCGCCTCGAACATGTTCCCTTGCCCCCACACCTCTCACCCGCCCCATGCCCCAACATCGCCTGTGCAGCGAATACCATGTAAGGGTGAAGAGCAGCGGCGGTGAAGGAAAATAGCGGATAAAGCCGCGAGTATTGACTTTTGAGGCGAATCAATTCCTGCCTCCCATGCGTACCCTTGCCTTCCCTGCTGTTACCCCCGCACCGCACCAGTACCATGCGATCGGAACGAGTGCGGATCCGATGCCGTGTGTTACAAGAATGCCAAAGGGAGCAACACGTGCGCTTGTAACAGTGGTTACACCATGACTCCCTTGGGCTGCAAGGGTGAGTAATGCTGCGGTGGCTGTGCAAATAGCCGTGGGACTCAGTGCACAGCCCCTTTTGTCGCTTCCACGCGGTGCTGCTCAATGCGAGGCTTGGGTGTTTCCGGCTCAGCTGACCTTGCTTCCTCATCTCATCTCCCCCCGTGCCTTGAGTGAGAGTCATGCTTGCAAAGCAGCTGTCCTCACTTCCTCCCCATCACTGCCTGCTGTGCCTTTCCCTCCCTGCTCTCCCCTTTCCCCTCAGAGCCATGCACTGTGACAAAATGTGGAGCGAATGCCTTCTGTTACAAGAATGCAGAAAGGAATGACACATGTGGTTGCAACAATGGGTTCACCATGACTTCCAATGCTCGCTGCATCGGTGAGTGTTGCTGGAGTCGCTGCATGGCTGGCTGGTGTGCCTGTGGCACTGTTTACGCGTTTACCCCGAGCCCCCTATTCCCTCATTATCTCTCCCCCCCCCCTCTCCGATCTTCCTTCCAGACTCGTGCGTTGTGCAGAACTGTGGTGGCAACACCACCTGTGTCAAGGGCACAGGTGACCAGGCATGGTGCATTTGCAAGCAGGGCTTCAGAAATGTGTCTGGGAAATGCATTGGTACGTAAAAAAACATGCCGGCTGCATGGCACGTGTATCATTATTCAGTTTGGGCTTGTGTCGAATGGTCCTTCGAACAGATGCTCTAGCTGCGGCTCCAGTACTACAGGACAATCGCCAGGTGAGAGGTCATCACCCGGGTTTCGCAAGGGCGGGTTTTCCCCCTTGTTAAAGTTGAGAAGAGGATTTTAGAGAGCTTGGAAGTTTGGGAAGAAAGAATTGGATTAGTAAGGCAAGAGGCTAAGATATACAAACAAAGGTTGGCAAATGTGGTGCACCACCAACCCGAAGTTGGGATATACGCGTTTAGCGTATATACGCGTATCGTATATACGCTAGTGTATATACGCTACCCGCTTAGGGGTCGGTTTGAAAATACGTTTTTTTCGGGCAGGGAAAAAAACCTTTCCAGGCAGGGTGGAAAAAAAAAAGTACTCCCTATTCTCACTAAGGCGTGGCCTAGCATAATCCTGAATCCGAATGGCGAGTGAGGTGACAGGTGGAGTAGACATAATAGCTAGAGAGAGAAGTAGCGTGCACTCTGCTGAAAGCGGGAACGAAATGACGGGCTGGCTGGTAAGTAGCGCGAGGTTTGTTGGGGGGTCAATTTTGACAGGTTGGAGTTTGTAGATGAAGCGGGGTTCAATGCGGTAGAAGGGATGGGTTTCAATGCCTAGATGGGATCTGAAATTCAACATTTGCCTGACAACTTCGAAGTCAGATCCTCGTTTGCCTAGACCGCGGATCTGGATTTCGACTGCGGCGAAATGCTTACCTAGGAAATCCGTGTCTTTAATGCATTTTTTTTTCGGGCAGCCCCAAAAATGTTCTGACTGCGTCTAGCGTATTCGCTATGTACGCTAGCGTACATACGCTATACGCTTAAGGTGTTAAGCGTATATTCCAACTTAGCACCAACCATTGGATGAAATTGACTACACTACAATCTAAGCTGAAGGTTATTTACATAAGGGGATACATGTATTCCAACAAACCCCCTAAATTGCGTGCAACAAGACATGCGTGCAAAAAAAAACCCTTGCAGGTAGGTATAAGCAGAATATTGAACCCCTGTTCGAGTCGATCCGAACAAAGATTTTTTTTTCCCCAAAATTGTGTTGCCGCCGTAATGCAACGCCTGAGCGAGCTCGCAGACGGTATGCTAGCCAAGGCGGGGACGGACCGCATGCCGTAGTAGCGCCCCTTCTATGTTGGTGTTACTTTTGAGAATTCTCAAAGGTACTAACGGACCGCATGCTGTAGTAGCGCCCCTTCGCGAGTAGAATCGTTGCATCTTGGCCTAGATGCCCTTTGTCTTGTCCTTGCATGTTGCATCCATGGTTGTGGTAGTAAAGTTTTGCTGATTGCTGACCCGTCCCCTCATGCGCGGTCGAAGGCCGTTATATCTCTCTCTCGCTCTCTCCATTCGCCGGAAATTCTGGAGTGACGAACGAATAATGCATCCCTCTCTCCATCTCGCTTGTGTCTTCCTCTTTCAGCCTGTCCTAAGGGGAAATTGTGGAACGCGGAAATGCAAGCCTGTGTCTGTGAGTTGATGCACTCTGCTGCTGCCACGCCTGCTGCTGCCGTCTTTGCCGCTGTTGCTGTCAGCACCATTGCTGTTCCAGCTGCTGCTGCTGCTGCTGCTGCTGCTGTTGCTGCTGCTGCTGCTGCTGCTGCTGCTGCTGCTGTTGCTGCTGCTGTTGTTGCTGTCTCTCCCTGCTGTGATCCATCAGAGAGAAGCAGCCGTAGCCAGGCCTGCTCTAGAACCGTGTTCTCCTGTCTCTCACCCCCCCAATCTTCTGCGCCCGTCCACCCCCTGCGCTACGCTCCGCTCTGTGGTGCCTCCACCAGCCACGTGCCGCGATGTGAAGGACTGCAAGAAGACCACTGGCTACTGTGTTGATGGACTCTGCTTGTGCAAGCCTGGCCTAATCGTGCTCCCCGATGAGACTTGTGCCTGTGAGTGACTATGCTGAGCTGAGGGGTGCTATCTCATGCCCCATGACCATGCTCCATAGACAATGATACTCCATGCCCCGTGCCCGTGTCCCGTGATCCTATATTCCATGTCCCATGGTCCATTCATGCCTCATGGCACATTCCCCATGCCCCGTGCCGCATGCACCATTCTTCATGAATGAACCTGCCGTTTCTTCATCCGCTCTTCCCCTTGCCCTTCTTGCTCCTCTCGTCCTCCTCGGCTCCCTTGCCCCATGTCGCCCATCTGGCCCCTTGTGCTCCCTTGCCCTCTCCCCCCTAGGCACCTCCTCTCCCATGCCCTCCCTTCGCCCCACACCTCTCACCCGCCCCATGCCTCATCGCCTGTGCAGCGAATACCATGTAATGGCGGTGAAGGAAAATAGCGGATACAGCTGCTACTATTGACTTGTGAGGCGATTCAATTGCTGCCTCCCATGCGTGCCCTTGCCTCCCCTGCTGTTACCCCTGCACCCAGTACCATGCGACCGGAACGAGTGTGGATCCGATGCCGTGTGTTACAAGAATGCCAAAGGGAGCAACACGTGCGCTTGTAACAGTGGTTACACCATGACTCCCTTGGGCTGCAAGGGTGAGTAATGCTGCAGTGGCCGTGCAAATAGCCGTGGATTCAATGCGAGGCATTGAACCTGCTTCCTCATCTCCCTTCGTGTGTTGAGTGAGAGTCATGCTTGCAAACCGGCAGCCCTCAGTGCCTCTCCATTGCTGCCTCCTGTGCCTCTCCCTTCCTTCCCTCCCCACTTCCCCTCAGAGCCATGCGCTGTGAACAAATGTGCAGGGAATAACTGTTCCTCACGCCCACTTCCCTTCTGTTACAAGAATGCAGCAGGGAGTGACACATGTGGTTGCAACGATGGGTACATCTTGATTTTCGACGGTCGCTGCATCGGTGAGTGTTGCTGGAGTCGCTGCATGGCTGGGTGGTGTGCCCGTGGCACTGGTAAGTGCCCGTGGCACTGGTGCGTCTCCCTCTCTCCTTCGCTCTCTCCTTCCATCTCTCCCCCACCCAACTTCCCATCCCGATCGCTCACACTCTTATAAGCTCTAGGCCCAAATTTCGGACCGCGCTGGGCAGGTTTAGTAATCTTGATGGCTTGGAGTTGGGAAACTTGAGAACCTACGCCCTTGCAACTTGGGACTTCGGCAACCAAACACAAAGTCCCCCCTTTGAAATTGTAGCGAGGGGTTGGGCGAAAGTGTAACACCCTCGCTCACAACACAACACCCCCGTCAACTTCTGTGAGCACCTTCTCTCAAGAGCCCAACGGTCAACCTTACTAAGGTTGATCCTCCCTCGTTGACCCCTCCAATTCCCTCGTCATCTCTTCCCCCCCCTCTCCGATCCTCCTTCCAGACTCGTGCCTTATGCAGACCTGTGGTCCCAACGCCACCTGTGTCAAGGGCACACGTGACCAGGCATGGTGCATTTGCAAGCAGGGCTACAAAAATGTGTCTGGGATATGCATCGGTACGTAAAATAACATGCCGGCTGCGTGGCACGTGTATCATATCATCATTCGGTTTGGGCTCGTGTCTTCCCTTGTCTGCTAAAAAGGAAGCGCAAGGCGAACGTGCTACGCCTTTCTACAATACATCGCAGGCAGTGTAGCAGTGTAAACACGGGCTTCCTATTTCTCGCAACCTTTTCCTCATCTCCCTCGCCCTCCTTTCTCGTTCTCTCTTTTTATTGCCACCCCTCCCGTCAGATGAGTGCGATCTCTGTGGTCCCAATGCTACGTGTGAGACGGACCAGCAAAGTGGAACCAAAACCTGCCGTTGCAACAATGGTTACTACATGCTACCGGATAACACCTGTGCCGGTGCGTCGATGTGGCCTCATTCGCTTTACGCTCTCCCCAATACTCGCTCTCGGACTCACCACCCCTCACTCTCGCTTACCCCTTCCTTCTTGAATGGTCCTGTGTTTGTATGCACAGCATGTACAAACAAGGTCTAATCCCCCTCTCTTCCTCCCTCCCCTCTTTTTCTGCCAGCAACATGCATCATCACGGGCTGTGCCATTGGTTCTAGCTGCATTGGAAACGCTACTGAAGACATGTATTGCGCCGGTACGTATCATTTTGAGACGTCTCTGAGCGGTTGCATTGGCTCTACTCTACTTCATCCTCTTTCTCTTGCCTTCCCTTGCTCGCCTTACGCTTTTCCGCTCCATTCCATGCTTGATGTTCTATTCATAAATGCTTGATAAAAAATAATCACAAATGGTGCTCTATCTCTCCCAAGCTGCGCATTTCTGGATAGTACCGTGAGATTGTAGCTTGGAGGTGTTCCGAACTACTTCCCTTACTTCTCAAACGGTCCTCACGTGCCTTTCCCCAACTGTTGTTTTTCAATCCTCCCTGTCAGATAACTGCGATCTCAAGCAATGCAACGTCTCGGCTGTGTGTGGGAAGGACCCTGTATCTGGAATGGCATCCTGCCAGTGCAGCACAGGCTTTACCATGCAATCTGACGGCACTTGCAGAGGTGTGTACTGGTGGTTTCCTTTGCTTCATGTGACGTCTACTTGGTACTTTCTCCCTCCCTAACCCCCCTCTCTGAGGAATAGATCACAAGTGCTTTTGAGTCGACTCAAAAGCAAGGGATAGATCACAAGTGTTGCTTTGAAGCGCCCCAAGGCATGACAAGAAACTCTCGAGACCAACTGCCTGATAGAAGCATGCGCAATCAAGCATGGTGGCAAAGCTTATGAGAACTGTCGGCACTGCAACCTGCGTATGTATGTAGTAATTGGATACACTGGCAAAACTTCCTCTTGTGTCGGTACTTAGCAGACCTTTCCGTTGATGTACTTAGCATACGTCACTGGAGTGGCTTGCCATTTGCCATGGGTGGCTGCGGGCATCTTGCAATTCGATTGCGATGGGTAGCTGCTGGCTTTTGAGACAACTTAAAAGTCGTCCTCACGGGAGTGGTTTGCCGTTTGCCATGGGTAGCTGTGGGCATCTTGCCATTCGATTGTGATGCCCATGCCCATTCCACATTGGCCTTTAACGTGGTTTCGCTCTATCAATGTCACCACTGGTGCCTCTGTCCCTCCCTGCCCTCCCCCCTTCCCCTCAGAGCCATGCGCTGTGAACAAATGTGGAGCGAATGCCTTCTGTTACAAGAATGCAACAGGGAGTGACACATGTGGCTGCAACGATGGGTACACCAGGACTCCCAATGATGGCTGCATGTGTGAGTGTTGCTGGAGTCGCTGCATGGCTGGGTGGTGTGCGCCCTCACCTCACCCGTTCCCTTTGTCCAACTTCCAACCTCTCCCTCCCTCCCTCTCTTCTTGTCTCCTTCCTCCCCTTCCTGGTGAGCCGGTTCGTGAGAAGCTAACGAGTCACCCCGCCCTCTGTGCAGTGTGACGAGTCGCGTTTTTTAGTTGCCTCAAAAGCACCCTCACTGCAGTGTAACGAGTCGCGCAACTCTCGCTATTCGCCCCTCTGCATTTCACCATCCCTCCCTCACTGCAGTTCCATGTGACGACTTCGGCAACTGCCCTTTCTATGGCAGTACATGCGGCGAGGTCACTGGAGGCGGCTATATGTGCATGTGTGAATCCGGCTACAGGATGGTTAACGACAGATGCCTCCGTATGTCATGGCTTGTACAATTCTGTTTGAGGCTATTCTTCACTCGCACTTGTCATTGTTGAAACGTTTTTTTTCTCTAATTTGGCCCTTCTTTGAGTGAGCTAGCTCAACAGCAGACTCATCCTTCTTTCCCCGCCTCACCAAGTTTACCCCTGGACCCGAAACCCTCCCCATCCTCACCTCCCCCTTCTTCTCGGCCTTTTATCCGTTCTCCCTTGGGCCTTTCTTCCTCTCTCTGTCCCTCTCCCTGCCCCGCTACATGGATTTAATTCCATTCCTATCAGACGTGTGCCAGTTGACTACCTGTCCGTCCAGGACTATTTGTGACCTGGACACTAAAGGGGGCGCTGTGTGCGTCTGCAACGATGGCTACGAGAAGCTACCAAACGGCACTTGCATTGGTGCGTGTTGGTGGTTTCTTTCGTCTCATGCAGTCTCTGTCTTGGTAGGCGAAAAGTGCATGTATGTATGTCTCATGCTCTCTCTCCTCCCCCCCACACTCTCACTCCCCTGACCATGTACCAGAAACGTGCATTCGCAAGAACTGTGGTAGCTTTCGGGAAGAGTGTGTGGACGTGGAAGGCGGCGACTCCTTTTGCAGATGCTTCAATGGATACAGTGGGAAGCCTGGAGCGTGTGTTGGTACGTGGTGTGCGTCTGTGTCTGCATACTGATGCCCCTCGCTCCCTCTCCCACTCTCTCTCACGCGGTCCTGCTCACTGGTAGCAAGGTAGGATGAACCTGCCAGGGCCCTCTGTCATACATGCACCAAACATGGGGCCTTGCTGTTGCGGCCATGGTGTTGCAGCCAAGGCCATTGTGCATAGCATCTGTGCGTCCACCTCCTTTCCTGCAGCGAAGAAGGTGATTGGCGAGCCATGGGTCAGCCGCTCGAAGAACAAGTGGGGGGTGGTACTGGAGGTGCAACAAGTCTGGGTGCCTGCACTGCACGGGTGCCTGAGAGAGGAGGCAGTGGGCGGATCCGACAGAGGGGTCCAGGAGAGACCGAGCCTGGCGATGGCTGCTGGGAGGCTGGCCTGTTTTCAGACCCGTTCTCCCTCTCTCTCTGTATCTCTCTCCCTCACTGCTTCCAGAAACCTGTGATGTCAAGACGTGTGGCGACTGGGAACGATGTGTCCCTCATGAAGACGGTGCCACATGTGAATGCATTGGAGGAGCAGTCAGCGTCAATGGTTCTTGTGTCGGTATGTTGTGCTTCTTCCACCCCCGTCCCTACCTACCCCTCCCCTCCAAAACCGCTGGTTCCTGTGGCAGTACGTTTTGCTCTGCTCCGCCCCATCAGTGCTCGCATTTGCTCCCATTCTCTTCCACGTCTTGTCTGTCGCTCACACCTTCACTCTTCCACTCTCCTCCATCCATGTCTGGTATCGTCAGTACTGGTAGGCCATCTGATTCTGACCTTTGACTCGGTCTCTGAATCCTGTTGTGTAAGGTCCTCACTGGAGTGGTATGCATCACTGAAAGGTCCTCACTGGAGTGGTATGCATCACTGAAAGGTCCTCACTGGAGTGGTATGCATCACTGAAAGGTCCTCACTGGAGTGGTATGCATCACTGAAAGGTCCTCACTGGAGTGGTATGCATCACTGAAAGGTCCTCACTGGAGTGGTATGCATCACTGAAAGGTCCTCACTGGAGTGGTATGCATCACTGAAAGGTCCTCACTGGGGTGGTATGCATCACTGAAAGGTCCTCACTGGAGTGGTATGCATCACTGAAAGGTCCTCACTGGAGTGGTATGCATCACTGAAAGGTCCTCACTGGAGTGGTATGCATCACTGAAAGGTCCTCACTGGAGTGGTATGCATCACTGAAAGGTCCTCACTGGAGTGGTTTGCCGTTTGCCATGGGTGGCTGCTGGCATCTTGCCATTTGATTGCTGCACTGTACCATTGCTATGATACCATTGCTATCTATCCGTTCCTGCATCGCCACTCAGCTGTGATATTATTGCAACACTGGCCTTCAACGCGGGCTCTTCTATCAATGCCTCCAACGGTGCCTCTGTCCCTCCCTCCCTTTCCTCCCCCGTCCACCTCAGAGCCATGCACTGTGAACAACTGTGGAGAGAACTCCTTCTGTTACAAGAATGCAGCAGCGGAGGATACGTGTGCTTGTAACGATGGTTACACCATGACTCCCTTGGGCTGCAAGGGTGAGTAATGCTGCAGTGACTGTGCATGGCTCAGCTGACCCTGCTTCCTCATCTCCCTTCGTGCGTTGAGTGAGAGTCATGCTTGCAAACCGGCAGCCCTCAGTGCCTCTCCATTGCTGCCTCCTGTGCCTCTCCCTTCCTTCCCTCCCCACTTCCCCTCAGAGCCATGCGCTGTGAACAAATGTGGAGCGAATGCCTTCTGTTACAAGAATGCAGAAAGGAATGACACATGTGGTTGCAACAATGGGTTCACCATGACTTCCAATGCTCGCTGCATCGGTGAGTGTTGCTGGAGTCGCTTCATGGCTGGCTGGTGTGCCTGTGGCACTGGTAAGTGCCTGCGTCTCCCTCTCTCCTTCGCTCTCTCCTTCCATCTCTCCTCCACCCAACTTCATAGATTCTGAGCCCCCCATTCCATCGTCATCTCTCCCGCACCTCTCCGATATTCCTTCCAGACTCGTGCCTTATGCAGACCTGTGGTCCCAACACCACCTGTGTCAAGGGTACAGGTGACCAGGCATGGTGCATTTGCCAGCAGGGCTACAAAAATGTGTCTGGGAGATGCATCGGTAAATAAAATAACATGCCGGCTGCGTGGCACGTGTATCATCATTCGGTTTGGGCTCGTGTCTTCCCTTGTCTGCTAAAAAGGAAGCGCAAGGCAAACGTGCTACGCCTTCTCTGAAATACATCGTCAGCAGTGTAGCAGCGCTCACATGGATTCACTATTTCTTGCACCCTATTCCTCATCTCCCTCGCCCTCTATCACATTCTCTCTCATTATTGCCACCCCTTCTGTCAGATGAGTGCGATCTCTGTGGTCCCAATGCTACGTGTGAGATTGACCTTCAAAGTGGAGCCAAAACCTGCCGTTGCAACAATGGTTACTACATGCTACCGAATAACACCTGTGCCGGTGCGTAGATGTGGCCTCATACTGAGGCCCTCATTCGCTTTACCCATCCCCAATACTCGATCTCGGTCTCACCACCCCTCACCTCCTTTGGCATTGGAAACACCCCTTGCCCTCTCTCTTCCTCCTCCCCTCTCAATTCGTCCTGTGTTTGAATGCACAACATGAACAGTCAAGGTCTGGTGAAAGCACAACCCTCGCTCCCCCCTCTCCCTTCTGCTTTCCCTTTGCCCCCATCCCCCCACCAATCCCTCCCTCCTCCTCCCTCCCCGCTTCCTTCGCCAGCAACATGCCTCGTCACGGGCTGTGCCATTGGTTCTAGCTGCGTTAACAACGCTATTGAAGACATGTATTGCGCCGGTACGTATCATTTTGAGACGTCTCTGAGCGGTTGCAATGCGCTACCTCATCCATTTGCTCGTTCCTTTCCTTGCGCGCCTTTCTTTTTTCCGCTCTGTTCCATTCTTGGTATCATCAATACTGGTAAAAGCTCTGGCCTTCCGGCTGTTTTTATTTAGGCACCTCAAAAGTCGTCCATGCTTGGTGGTGTCATCAAATATTGGCAGAACTTCTGGCCTTCTGATTGTTTGTGTGTAACATTTTCACACAAAGCAGTTCTCTGTTTCCCCCAAGCCGTGCATTTCTTGAGAGTACCGTGAGATTGGAGCTTGGAGTTGTTCCCTTCCGAACTACTTCCCTTCCTTCCGACCTTGGAGCTTGAGATGGTACTTGCCTTTCCCCAACTTTTTCTTATCCTCCCTGTCAGATAACTGTTATCTCAAGGGATGCCACGACACGGCCATGTGTGTCAAGGACCCTGCATCTGGAAAGGCATCCTGCCAGTGCAGCGCAGGCTTGATCATGCAATCTGATGGCACTTGCCAAGGTGTGTACTGGTGTTTTTTTTCGTGTCTACTTGGTGCTTCCTTCCTCCCTATCCCTCTCCTATGAATAGATCACAAGTGTTGTTTTGAAGCGCCTCAAAACATGTCAAGAAGTTGTCGAGAGATCGTGACCACCTGCCTGTTAGAAGGATGCGCAATCAAGCATGGTAACAAATCTTGTGAGAGTTGATTGACTTCCCAATGGTCGCTGCATGGTTGAGTGTTGCTGGAGTCGCTGCATGCATGGCTGGATGGTGTGCCTGTGGCACTGGATAAGTGACTGCCTTATTGATGTTGTTGTCTTATATAGGGATGAGCAAGGGGCGAACACGAACATGTTCGTGTTCGCCCCTACACGAACACATCCGTTTGCCGAACCGAACACTGTTCGGTTCGGCGAACACTTTAAGCAAAAACAGGTGTTCGCCGTTCGCCTGTGAAGGCGTGTTCGGGCGAACCTCGAACACGTTCGTGTTCGTCGCGGGGCAAATTGCAGCAGCGGCCCGAACACGTTCGGCGAACACTTTAACCAAAAAAAACAAACCTGTTCGGTTCGCCTCGAACGTGTTCGAGGCGAACCGAACAGGTGTTCGCCCTTGTGCTCATGTCTAGTCTTATACCTCACCTCACCCGTTCCGTTCGTTTCAGCTTCCAACCTCTCCCTCCCTCCCACTGTACTTCGCTCTCTCCTTCCACCCAACTTCCCTTATCTCTTCCCCCTCTCCAATGTGTAAGAAATAGAACTTAAACTGATGATTAGTAATGAGCTCAAGGCTCTTTAAGTACATCCAAAATGAGCAAGGATTGGATGGGGAGGGAATCAGGGGCAATCACAAGGAGATCAGATGAAATCTCTAATTGGTGGTTTGGAGATTTCGGTTTATCACATTCGGGTTTGGTTGGGATGTGAGTGTACACCCAACCAACACAAAGAACAAACTACACTAATATATGATATAAAAGTGCAAGTACAAAAGTTGAGATAATGGGCTAACATCAACACCCCCTTATAGACATCAATTGAAATCAAGGTAGAGAAGCTGGGGCACAGACAGAGCCCCATGGCGCCAAAAAGACGATGGTGAGGAACCCGCCCAAGGGGCTTGGTGAACAGATCAGCCAAGTTGCAGTCAGAAGCGATGTACTGCACCATCAGCTGATCACGCCGAACAAGGTCACGAATGAAGAAGTGACGAAGCTCGATGTGCTTGGTGCGGGTGTAGAACTAAGGATCCTGGGAGAGGTGGATGTACTCTGGTTGTCACACCAGATGGTGGGTGTGGACTGAGGGTAGCCAAGCTCCTGGAGGAGGAAACCGAGCCAACGAGCCTCCTGGGCTGCCATACTGCCGGCATACAGTTCTGCCTCGCATGATGAGAGGGAGACTGCAGAGGACTCCGTGGAGCGCCAACTAACAACTCCACGACCAAGGGTGAAGCAGTAGCCCTGGGAGGAGCGTCGGTCGGTCTGGTCATCTGCCCAAGGGGAGTCACTGTAGCCTTTCAGTCGGGGAGGAGAAAGACCACCAAGTGTGAGGACATGAGACTTGGTGTCTTGCAGATAGCGCAAAACCCGCTTCGCACCTGTCCAGCGGAGATCGGTAAAGTGTCCTGGAGCCACATACCGAAAGAGGAGACTGACAGGATATGCCAGGTCAGGGCGAGTACACAAAATGGCGTACATGAGGGACCCGACAAGCTCCGGGTATGGCTCGGAGCAGGCCTTGGGTGTGGGTGTAGCTGGAGCTGTGAGAAGGTGCTGCAGCGGCAGTGGGGTGGCAATAAGCGTGCAGGAGCCCATCTGACAGTGCTTGAGGACATTGTCGATGTAAAACTCCTGAGAGAGCCTGACGATCGAGTACGATCTCCATCCCCAGGTATTCATTGAGGTCACCAAGGTCCTTCATCAAGAGGGTCTTGCTCAAAGCCGTCTGAACCGAAGTCATCTCAGCAGAGTCCTTGGAGACGATGATGAAATCGCCAATGTAGACCAGGATGTAGAACGGCTCAAAGTGACGGCTCGGAGTGACGGAGTCCCTTCCATCTCCCCATCTCTCCCCTGTTGCCTTTTCTTCCAACCCCCCTCTCCCTCTACTTTCTCTCTGTTCAGTGTGTGGCACCGACAGTGACTGCCCAATGCACGCCTATTGCAGCGGTGGTGTGGAGTGCGTTTGCCAACCCGACTACCCATGGAACGGCACTCATTGCACTGGTATGTGGTGGCACCGTTTCTTTCACACCCCCTTACTTCGTTCGTTCTTTGCATGCCAGGTCCTTTGCTCGTTCTATCTGTGTCCCTCTGAATTGACACGCTCCTGCCCGTCTTGTTCAAACTGCCTCAATTCTCTTCAAACTTTCCAGACCCCTGCGATGGTGTGAAGTGCAGTCCCAATGCTTACTGCAGCGACGGTCAATGCGATTGCAACAACTACTATAGCCAGCTGTCAGATGGCACTTGCTCTGGTGCGTGTTGGTGTTCCAGCCCTCCCTCTCTCTTTCCCTTTCTCTCTCCCTCCCTCCCTCTATCCCCTCCCCCCTCCCTATCTCTCCTCTCCTTCCCACCCGCTCTCCTCCCCCCTTCCTCCCTCCTTCCTCGCCCACCAACCCACATCTACTCCCGCGCGACCTGGCTAGGATCCCCCCCCTCTCCCCTCCACATCACCCCCCTCATCCTTCTCAAATCATCCTGCTCATCCTCCGTCCGCTGCTTGTCTGCAAAGGAGGGCGCACACTGGTCTTTGTGAGCCTGTGGGAAAGCCCTCTGAGTCAAGTCACCATGTTGCTGGCCTTGGTCAGCAAGGCAGCAGCCTTCACGTTGCAGGGAGTTTTTGAGAATTCTCAAAAACTCCATGTTGCTGGCCTTGGTCAGCAAGGCAGCAGCCTTAGCCAGCAAAGCCAGCAACCCTCACTCACTCTTGCACTCTCTTCTGCGCTCTGGCCCACTCAAACCCTAAACGCACACTTCCATTTCTGCTGAAAGTCTCACTCTGTCTCTCTCGCCCCCTCTCCCCGCCCACACTCGCTTCCCCTGACCATGTACCAGAATTGTGCGTGCTTCTGAACTGTGGCTCTAGGGAAATGTGTATGGAAAATGACGGCGTCAACGGCGAGTCAGTCTGCAGATGTGCTCCTGGATACGTTGGGGAGCCTGGATCGTGTGCTGGTACGTGGTGTGTGTGTGCTTCTTGTGAGTCACTTTTGAGAGTTCTCAAATGCCTGCAGCTGCCTCGATAGATACATTGGGGAGCCTGGATCGTGTGCTGGTACGTGGTGTGCTTCTTCTGTGTGTGTGCTTGGGACGATACAGCCTCGATAGATACATTGGGGAGCCTGGATCGTGTGTTGGTACGTGGTGTGCTTCTTTGTCTCCATACATGCCCCTCGCTCCTTCTCCCCATACTCTCTTTCACGCGTTCCTGCTCACTCATAGCAACATGCGCCCTTATAGCTCCTGCTCACTCATAGCAACATGCGCCCTGATAGCTCCTGCTCACTCATAGCAACATGCGCCCTGATAGCTCCTGCTCACTCATAGCAACATGCGCCCTGATAGCTCCTGCTCACTCATAGCAACATGCGCCCTGATAGCTCCTGCTCACTCATAGCAAGGTGGGAGGCTGGTGGGAGGCTGTCCTGTTGCCAGACCCGTTCTCTCTGTCTGTATCTCTCTCCCCCCCTGCTTCCAGAAACATGCGATGTGCCGAACGTGTGTGGCGAATGGGGGATATGTGTCCCTAATGAAGGCAGTATTACCTGTGAATGCATAGATGGAAGCGTCAGGGTTGCTGGCTCTTGTGTCGGTACGTTGTGCTGCTTCTTGTGTCGGTACGTTGTGCTGCTTCTTGTGTCGGTACGTTGTGCTGCTTCTTGTGTCGGTACGTTGTTCAATCCCTCTCTCTGCCCGTGTCTTGTACTCTCCCTCATGTGCTTTCTTCTGCCCTGCTCTGTCGGTAGCGTCCCGTTCCCTCATTCTCTAATCACACGTGTCCTCTTCCTTATTCCGCTCAAGGCTGCCCAAGGTGCTGCAATCTGTGCCTGCTAGTGGGGCTCCACGAATGTGCATGCAAGTGCACGTTCGTTCTCTCTGTCCACATCTCTCTCTCTCCCACCCTGCTTGCAGAATCATGTGATAACACGAGGTGTGGCGAATCGGAAGTATGTGTCCCGCGGGAAAGCGGTCCCACATGTGACTGCATCAATGGAACCGTCAGGGTGGCTGGCTCTTGTGTCGGTACGTTGTGCTTGTTCTTGTGTCGGTAAGAAGGTGAAGGTGTGTGGCGAGGGGGAGCAATGTGTCCCTAATGAAGGCAGTATTACCTGTGAATGCATAGATGGAACCGTCAGGGTGGCTGGCTCTTGTGTCGGTACGTTGTGCTTGTTCGATCCCCTTTCCCTCTCCCCACCCGTCCCCCCACCCCCCACCCCTCTTCTCTGTCTGCCCGTCTCTTTGGCCCGCCTCCATGTGCGTTCTGTCCTGCTCTATTGGTCGCCCCCTGCTTCATCCAACCATTCCATCTCTCTATGCTCAACTCTGTTGTGGTATTTTCAATGAATCCCGCTTGGCCACGTTCTCTTTGCTTCCCTCCCGTGCAGCGACGTGCGACATCACGAAGAACGATTGCAATGTGAATGCCACTTGCACCAAAGTTTCTGGAAACGTGGGAGTGTGTAAATGCAATGCTGGTTTCCAGTCAAATGACGCCTCATGCCTTGGTAAGTGATGCTGTGGCATCGCTTTTGCTACCGCCTCACTCACTTGGGGACATGCATTGGTGCATGCCATGCCATTGTCAACCACCCTGTCACTTCCCAACCACCCCATCACTTCCCAACCACCCCATCGCTTCCCAACCACCCCATCGCTTCCCAACCACGGTATCTCCTTGATCGCTCGATATTGCACGCCCCCTTTAAACTGTTCCTTCCATCCCCTCATCCCCTCTCCCATTGCCTCCTCTCTCTCCCTGCTCTTTCCCTGCGTTCAGTGTGTGTCAACAACAGTGATTGCCCCATGCATGCCTATTGTGAAGCTGGTGTGCAGTGTCTTTGTGAAACCGGCTACCCATGGAACGGCACCCATTGCGCTGGTATGTGATGGAGCCATTTCTTTCACACCCTCTCTCTTCATACTTCAAATTTCCCAAGTCTGACTAACCTCATTTATCTTCTGCAAACTGCTCTTTCAAACCTCCTCCAATTCTCCTCGCAGATCTCTGCAATCATATCAAATGTGGCCCCAACTCTTTCTGCAAGGCGGCTATTTGCGGATGCAGCGACAACTATATCATGTCGCCAAATGGCATTTGCGCTGGTGCGTGCTCGTTCGCTCTCTTGCTCTCTCGCGCTCTCGCTGTCGATAACAAACAACCATAATCGCCATGGGACTGCCCCCCCCATCACCTGCCGTAACTTCGAATGGAGGGCGACGGCTGGCTGCCTCTCTGGCGCATGCCACACCACCGACGGCTTGCTGCCTCTGATCAGTACATCACCGCTGCTCAGGTACGCATCGAGAAGGCGCTTGGCTGCTTGCTTGGCAAGTTATCGAAGGAACTCGCCTATCAGAAGGAATTCGAGACACAGCTGGCTTCCTCGTCTCCCTTCGTGCCTTGAGTGCGAGTCTCGCTTGCAAACCGGCAGCGCTCAGTACCTCTCTCTCTCCCTTCCCTTCCCCCTTCCCCTCAGAGAAATGCACTGTGAACAACTGCGGAGCAAATGCCTACTGTTACAAGAATGCAACAGGGGGTGACTTGTGTGGCTGTAACGATGGGTACACCAGGACTCCCAATGATGGCTGCATCGGTGAGTGTTGCTGGAGTCGCTGCATGGCTGGGTGGTGTGCCTGTGGCAGTGGGTACGTGCCTGCCTTTCAACTGCCAATAATGTTGTTTTATACCTCACCCGTTCTGCTCGTTTCAACTTCCAACATCTTCCTCCCTCCCACTCTCCTTCGCTCTCTCCTTCCCTCTATCCTCCACCCAACTTCCCATCCCGATCGCTCACACTCTTGCGGATCCGCCCTACCTGTCGTCTCGCTTATCTCTTCCCACTCTCTTCTTTCCAGACTCGTGCGTTGTGAAGGGATGTGGTGCCAACACCACCTGTATCAAGGGCAAGCATGACCAGGCATTCTGCCTCTGCAAGCAGGGCTTCAGAAATGTGTCTGGGAAATGCATCGGTATGCAACTAAACATGCTGGCTGCGTGGCACGTGTGTATCATCATTCAGTTTATGCATGTGTGTTCTCCCTTTTTTGCAACCTATTTCTCATTATCCTCACCCTCTCGCTCGTTCTCTCTTTAGGCATGTGTATCCTCACCCTCTCTCTCGTTCTCTCTTTTTATTGCCACCCCTCCCGTCAGATGTGTGCGATCTCTGTGGTCCCACTGCTACATGTGAGTCGGACCAGCAAAGTGGAACCAAAACCTGCCGTTGCAACGACGGTTACTACATGCTACCGAATAACACCTGTGCCGGTGCGTACATTTGGCCTCATTCGCTTTACCCCGTCCCCAAATCTCGCTCTCAGTCTCACCACCCCTCACCTCCTTTCGCAATAGAAGCACCCCCTTACCCTCTCTCTTCCCTCCTCCCTCTCAAATGGGTCCTCCTTTTTTTTATTGCACAGCATGAACGGACAATGTCAGTGGTAAAGAAAGCACAACCCCCGCTTCCCACCTCTCCCTTCTGCTTCCCCTCTGCCCCCCTCCCCTCCCCCCAATCCCTCCTCCCCTCCCTCCTTCGCCAGCAACATGCATCGTCACGGGCTGTGCCATTGGTTCTAGCTGCGTTGGAGACGTTGCTGAAGATATGTACTGCGCTGGTACGTAACAGTCTGAGACGTCTCAGAGCGGTTGGATTGGCTCTACTTTATCCTCTTTCTCGTGTCAATTTTTTCTCACCTTTCATTTTTCCGCCTTTCGTTTCAATACTGGTAGAAATTCCAGCCTTTTGATTGTTTGTTTGTAAAAGTACACAAAGTGGTGCCCTATTTCCCCGAAGCCATGCATTTCCTGATAGTACCATTCCATGAGATGGTGCTTTGGGTTGTTCCGAACTACTTCCCTCCCTTCGCAATTGGTACTTACTTGCGTTTACCCAACTTTCTTTTTGTGTATCCTCCTTGTCAGATAATTGCAATTTCAAGGAATGTCAATACGCGGCTGTGTGTGTCAAAGACGCTTTATCTGGAAAGGCTTCCTGCCAGTGCAGCACGGGCTTTACCATGCAATCTGATGGCACTTGCAAAGGTGCGTATTGGTGGTTTCCTTTGCTTCACGTGGCGTCACTTGGTGCTCCCTCCCTCCCTAGCCCTCACCAAGGGATTGATGACAAGTGTTGTTTTGAAGAGCCTCAAAACATGTCGAGAAACTGTCGAGAGATCGTGACCAACACCTGCTAAAAGCATGCGCAATCAAGCAGGGTGGCAAAGCTTGTGAGAACTGTCGGCACTGCAACCTGCGTATGTATGTAGCACGTGGATACACTGGCAAATGTGCACTTTGTCGCGGTACTTTGCACACCGTTTCATTTTTGTCACGCTGTCTCTCCCCGCTCATCCCCTTCCTCTCTTCATCTCATCTCATCCCCCATTCTCGTCCTCATCCCCCGATATGCACTCTCTTCACCTCTCTTTCTTGCTCCCTTCATATGTCCTCCATCCCTCTCTATCAGATGACTGCGAAACTAAGGACTGTGGTGAGCGAGGAGTGTGCGAGCATGACCCTGTCACTTTAGAAGCCATCTGCATTTGCTTTATGGACGGCACCGTCATGCTGCCAAATGGGACTTGCATTGGTGCGTACGTGATCTCCCTCGCACTCTCTTCCCCCCTCCCCTTCACTCCCCCCTCTCTACCTATTCAAGAAGCATCATTGATGTGCCATAGCTATAATTGATAACTCTCCCCCTCTCTATCTCCCCCGTCCTCTCCCCACCAATCATCTGCCAGACAAGTGCTGGGAAAGGTGGTGCTGGCCTCCAGCCGTTTGTCGTGGCGATATTACCTGCACATGTGGCGATTACATGATTGGCGAGCCTGGATCTTGTCTCGGTACGTTGTGTATGGGAGTACAGGAAAGGAAATGGTTGAGCCGCCTTTGCACCGGAAGTCGTCCGACTAACAATTGTATTGTTTTTCCCACTACTCCTACAATTTGCAGTCGTCCATATTTCCACCATCTCAACTCCATACAATAAGCTTGTGTTAACTCCTACGAATTCATTGCTCAGCCCAAACTGCATGCTGACATATGCAATGTCAACAGCTGAACGCCGCTAGACAACATGTGCTCACCTCCCTCTCTCCTGCATACCCCCTCTCGTGCCATCCATCCTCCAGCAACATGCGATCACCCAGACGTGAATTGCAGCGCAGAAGAAGACTGTATTCCTCCAAGCATGGAGAAGCGGACCCATGCTAAATGCGTGTGCAAGGATGGATACCTTCGCAGAGAGACACACGTTTGTGCCCGTACGTATGCTCTTTTTTCATTTTTTGCCATTCTTCTCTCTTCGTTCCTCTCAAGCGGTCATATTTTAGAAAAGGCAAAGGTGTACAAGCGTTGGCAATTAAGACCGATGTAGCTAGACAAATCGAAGCAACTCATATGCCATAAACCACACGGCCTCTTGCTTTTTTCCTTGCCTATGACAAACCCCCCCCCCCCCCCCCCCCGACTACACAAGAATACCCCCAACCAAGCAACACCCCCTACCCCTCCTTTCCACCGATCTGTCGCTAGGAAAGGAGGGGTAGGGGGTGTTGCTTGGTTGAAACTCTCCCTCCTCCCTAACACCCTCCACATCCTAGGTCTGCTGCACCGCAGCATATGCTGGCATGGGTCCTGCCGAGAGTGTGGGGCCCACGGGTCCTGCCGAGACTGCGCCGTAGTTGCCTTTGATAGGAGAGATTTGAGAAGGGAGGGGCTATCTGAGGAACCACCCTCCCCCCCCTCCCACTCCCCCCCTTCTCTCTCTTTCTGTCTCACTCTCTCCCTCTCTCTCTCTCTCTACCTTTGCACATTCCAATCTCCCACATACCCCCTCTCACCAACCATCTGCCAGCAACATGCAAGATTCTGGCCGATCCGTATAGTCCAACACCGTGCGGTTTTTTGGAAGAATGCCGTGAAGACCTCCCGAACGGGATCGCTGGAAGCTGCGAGTGTGTGGCTGGATACTATCGCCACAACGGAGAGTGTGCTGGTACGTACGTATGTGCTGCTGTCCTTTGTGCTTATATTGTCGTACGTATGTGCTTGTATTTTCGTATGTATGTTCTTGTATTTTCGTATTTATGTGCTTGTATGAATGAGGTTTGTGTGGCTCACGGAAATAATTTGCTTGCCTGTATATGTTCATGACCTCTATACAGGAAATAATCTGCTTGCACAATACCACAGCTCAATTTGAGCAATCAGGAAAAGTTTGATGTTTCTTTCAAGCCAATCCCACTTGAATAAGTACCATTCCCCCTGCTGGATTGCAGGTGATTTTGAGTGGACTCAGAAAACACCTGCTGGTTTGCCTCTGTTGATTTATGGAAGAGCGGTGGGTGTCCCATCCTGCATGCCTCACCTGCTTACCCACCCTGTTTTCTCTCCATCTGTGTCCAGACTTTCTTCGTGACGAATGCACCGCTGACAACTGTGGTAATGGCAATTGCGTTGAGCACTATGACAACTACTGGTGGTGGAACAACAATACGCCCTTTCAATACTGCAAGTGCAACGATGGTTACACGCCGGATCCAGTCTCTGGAAATTGCATAGGTACGTACGTGCAATGGATTCAAAAATGACCCTCTTCAGTTCTTGCTCTATGTTTCCCTATGTACCCCGTTATCTCCTTTTTTATTTCTCTGGATCTGAGGCATTGCCACCAAGCTTTGTTGGCCTTTTGGTGTTCAGCCTTATGAACTCTTCAAACCCCCCATCTCCCCTTCCCCGTCCACCTCCCCTCCCTGCCAACCCGTGCTGCCCTCCCCTCTCTCCCTCTCATCATAATCAATCTTCACCATCCATCTGCCAGAATCATGCCCGGCCATGCCATGTCCATATGGACACCTTTGTGACACATCTGGACTCTATCCGGTCTGTAAGAAAGGTGCGCTCCGGAACTTACGCATATTCCATGCAATCATCGTCCATCCAATCATCGTCCGTCCAATCATCGTCCATCCAATCATCGTCCATCCAATCATCGTCCATCCAATCGTCGTCCATCAAATCCAATCATCGTCCATCCAATCCAATCCACGTGGCAGATGTGGTTTTTCTAGACTATTGCTGGTGGTTGGGAGAAGGTAGACAGTCTTGCTTTCATTCCGTTGCTGATTTGTACCTGTACCTTTTTATCCCTCTTGGCAGTTAACTGTCCGGTTAACTGTCCTCATAACTGTGTTTGGAACTCACAGATGAGCATCCAAGCCTGCCCAAGTACGTGCTGATGGTCTCATTTTCTCGTCCCGTTGCCTTCCCTTTATCATTCACTCTTGCGCGCATTCCACTCCTGACCCCATCTCCCCTCTCCTGATGTCCTCTTTCTGTCGTTTTGCTCCTTCCTGCGTTTCCCTTCTCCACTTCGCTGCCTCACTTGCGTGGCTGACTCACGTGTTCGTCCATTCCTGCTCCATGTCACATCCACACCACCACGCCTCCTGCCAAAGGTCATTGCATTAGTGGCGATGTAGGTTACTTTCTCTCCCCTCTCCCCCTCTCCCACTCTCCCCCTCTTCCCCTCTTCCCGTCTTCCCGTCTCCCCCTCTTCCCCTCTTCCCGTCTTCCCCTCTTCCCGTCTTCCCGTCTTCCCCTCTTCCCCTCTTCCCACCTCCCCCTCTTCCCATCTCCTGTCTCCCTCCATCCATCCAACAGACACCTGTGAAGCCATAAATTGTGGACCATTGGAAGAATGTGCGATGGTGGGAGGCGTGCCAACCTGTAAATGCAGGAGCGGATACGTCGGCCAGGCGGGATCGTGTGCTGGTATGTGGTTTGCTTGTTCTTTCTCTTTATTCTCTTTACTCACGTGCGTTCTTTGCCTTTCTTTCTCTCCCTCCTATGCAATGCCTCTCTAGTTGATATATTTCTCTCTTTCATTGTCACTCGTATCGCTGCCTATCTTACTCGTTTGTCATAACCTCTCTGTCATGCTCTCTCCTCATCCCCTGTCTCATTCTCCCACTTCTCCCTATCAATCATCAAATCCATCTTGCAGCAACATGCAAAGCTCTCTATTGTCCCCTAAACCAACACTGTGTGGAGAAAGTCCCTGGAGGCGCTGGGACTTGCGAATGCGCTGCAGGATACGTCGCGCGAGGCAAATACTGTGATGGTATGTAGTATGTTTGGCCTTCTGTTCCTCTTATTTTTTTCCTCTCACTTTCCTTGCATATTATCTCTCGTTCCCTCTTATTACCCTCCTTCCTCTACCACCGTCCCTTCCCCTGCCTCACCTCACTATCCCTCACCACCTCTCTCGTTCTCCCCTCCCTCTCCCACTTACCAGCAACCTGCGCAGTCTATGAATGCGGTCAAAATGAAGTATGCGAGATGGTGAACCTCAGGCCAACGTGCAAGTGCAAGCCAGTATATCTTGGGGTCCCAGGATTTTGCAAACGTATGTACTTCTCCTCTTCTCTCCCCTCTCAAGTGGTCTCTGTATCAATGCCCATGCAAACGTATGTACTTCTCCTCTTCTCTCCCCTCTCAAGTGGTCTCTGTATCAATGCCCATGCAAACGTATGTACTTCTCCTCTTCTCTCCCCTCTCAAGCGGTCTCTGTATCAATGCCCATGCAAACGTATGCACTTCTCCTCTTTGATAGAATTGGAACTGAACTGATTGATTGATAAGGAAGGCACGAGGCCTTAAGTACAAACACGGTTGGGTTGAGCAAAGCTAGGGAAAGGGTGGGATGGGAATCCTAGCAAATCTCCAATTGGTGAGTTGGCAGATTTGCAGGATTACGAGGGAATCGCAACCAGATAGGGTTGGGATTACAAATCTACACCCAACCTACAAAGTAACCTAACCGATATAGAATATAGTACAAAGTGTGGACTGACTATTTTTAACACTCTTCTCTCCCCTCTTAAGTGGTCTCTGTATCAATGCCCATGCGAACCCAAGGTCGAGGTGGGCAAGGTAGCACCTCAAATCAGCCATGTGGTCACGTGAGGCAAGGTAGCACCTCAAATCAGCCATGTGGTCACATGTCCTGTGGAGGCATCGCAAGAGGCTGCAACACGGCAAAACACCCTTTGATGGTCAGGGTATTGTCTGAGGAACCCAAATGTGGGTTTTCTGCCTGTGCTACTGTATAGAGCTTGCTGAGGGAGGTGATGGTTTGATGAGTGAGGTGATGGCTTGATGAGGGAGGTGATGGCTTGATGAGGGAGGTGATGGGTTGATGAGGGAACAAACTCTCTTTGTTTCATGTATTCTCTCAAACACTAATTTCTTGTTGATCATTCTCACTTCCCTGACATTTTCCTGTCAAACGTCTCCCCCTCCGCCGTCTCTCCCTCTCCCTCTCCCTCTCCCTCTCCCTCTCCCTCTCCCTCTCCCTCTCCCTCCCCCCATTAACCCTCCCACCATCTGCCAGCACCTTGCTCAATACGAGTCTGTGGTCTCAACGAGGAGTGTGTGGAGCGCGAAGACACGTCATACTGTCAATGCAAGTTTGGATACACGCGCGCTTCTTCTCACACCTGCGCGCGTACGTAGACTGTTGTCACCTTCACACACTGTGCTCTCACACACGCTCCCACACACGCTCTCTGTATTGTGTATGCAAAAGGGTGTACAAGCTAGTGTAGAAAGCACGATACAGAAGGAGAGGAGTCTGTCATGTGATTCGGAGGTTGTTTGTAGCCCATCTATCCTTTGTTGACAAGCCATGCAAAACGCCCTGCAGCCCTGCTTATGGGTGTCATGATTAGCAGTGGTGTTTTGCCAGCACTCTTTCCTCAGCCGCCTTTCCCCCCTTCCCCCTCCCCCCTTCCTCTCTCTCTCTCTCTCTCTTCCTCCCCCTCCCCCTCTCCCTCCTTGATGAATTCTCCTACTGCCAGCACAATGCATATTCACGAAGTGTGGCCCCTTCGAACGTTGCAAAGAAACGGATTACGGTGGACAATGCATTTGCAACTATCCCGAATACAAAGGCACGCCCCCGAATTGTAAAGGTATGTGTTTCTTTATCTGCCTCGTCTTTTTCCTGCACGCTCATGCTGTCTCCATTCAATTGGTTCCACCCCACTCTCTCCATGGTCTATCCAGCTCTCTGTATGGCATACCCCACTCCCAAAACTACTTTCCATTCTCTCTCGCCTCTGCCAGGAACATGCGAGTCAACCCCTTGTAATTACGACACTGAAGTATGTGTCGACTCAAGTGATGGCGCAGTCTGTGAATGCGCAAAAGGATATGTACGGCACGAGGGCACTTGCACGGGTGCGTAGTGTGTGTGTGTGTGTGTGTTTTTTTTTTTTTCCTCCATTTCTGCAAAGTGCTTATGTTCGCCCTCTCCCTCGTCCCCTCTCTCTCTCTCTCTCTCTCTCTCTCACTCTCACTCTCACTCTCACTCCCTCCCTTCTCACTCACTCACTCACTCACTCACTCACTCCCTCTCACTCTCACTCTCACTCTATCTCACTCTCACTCTATCTCCCTCTCACTCTTATCTCCCTCTCACTCTATCTCCCTCTCACTCTCTCTCCCTCTCACTCTATCTCCCTCTCACTCTTATCTCCCTCTCACTCTATCTCCCTCTCACTCTATCTCCCTCTCACTCTCTCTCCCTCTCACTCTATCTCCCTCTCACTCTGTCTCCCTCTCACTCTCTCTCCCTCTCACTCTGTCTCCCTCTCACTCTGTCTCCCTCTCACTCTGTCTCCCTCTCACTCTGTCTCCCTCTCACTCTGTCTCCCTCTCACTCTGTCTCCCTCTCTTTCTCTTTCTCTATCTCTCTCTCTCCAGGAACATGCGCAGTCACTCGTTGTGATTCCGGTGAAGTGTGTATTAATATAGGTGGAATTGGAACTTGTAAGTGGAATCTGGCACCCTACAATTGCACATTTGCTCTCTATGTCCTCTATCTCCCCCCCTCTCCTCTCTCTATCTCCCTCTCTCTTTCTCCCTCACTCTCTCTCTCGCCCCCTCTCTCGCCACCTCTCTCTCGCCCCCTCTCTCTCTCTCCCTCTCTCTCGCCCCCGCTCTCGCCCCCTCTCTCTCGCCCCCTCTCTCTTTCCCTCTCTCTCGCTCCCTCTCTCTCGCCCTCCCTCTCGCCCTCCCTCTCGCCCTCCCTCTCGCCCTCCCTCTTCGCCCCTTCTCCCTCTCTCTCGCCCCCTCTCCCCTTCTCCCTCTCTCTCGCCCCCTCTCTCTCGCCCCTTCTCCATCTCTCGCCCCCTCTCTCTCGCTCTCTTCCTCCCCAGGGCTAGTAGCACCGTACCTTTACTTGTACTGAATCTAGGGTTGTAATGGCTTTGCACCTATTGGGATTGCAACTTCCTTTCAGGTCCGGGTTTGTTGGAATGTCTCGAGCTGCACTGTGGGGGCTCTTCATGGAAATCTCTGGACTGCACCACGTGTCTTATGTTTGGGAGCATGGATTACACCTACAGACCGGAATAGGTACGTGCAATTGGAATCACTTGTACATCTCCCGTTCCCCCCCTCCCCTCTCCCCCCCTCCCCTCTCCCCCTCACCCCTCCCCTCCCCTTTTCCCCTTTCCTTTCCCCTCCCCCCCTCTCTCAACCCTGTCCTCTCGCACCCCTGACCTCACTCACTTCTGTCCTCTCTACCCTTTTCCTCTCTCCAGTATCATTGTATCTAGTCTCACCTCTAACTTTAGAGGTGTTCTTGGCACCTGTCCTCTCCTCTCTCACCCCTCTCCTCTCTCACCCCTCTCCGCTCTCACCCCTCTCCGCTCTCACCCCTCTCCTCTCTCACCCCTCTCCTCTCTCACCGCTCTCCTCTCTCACCGCTCTCCTCTCTCACTGCTCTCCTCTCTCACCCCTGTCCTCTCTCACCCCTCTCCTCTCTCACCCCTGTCATCTCTCTCCACTGTTGGCACTTGCCCCTGTCGTCTCTTCCCATTTTCCTCTCTCCCCTTTCTCTGCTTTCTCTCTCTCCTTTCCTTTCTCCCCTTTCCTCTCTCCCCTTTCTTTTCTCTCCTTCCCTATCTCCCCTTTTCTCTCTCCCCTTTTCCTCTCTCCCCTTTTCCTCTCTCCCATTTTCCTCTCTCCGGTGTTTTTGTATCTAGTCTTACCTCTACTCAAGTGTTTCTGGCAAAATATCATTGAAGATATGCATACAAAGGGTGAATTACCCTGCTGAAGAGGGTATAGTGATCTTCCATTTCCCCCTTAAAACTCTGGTTCCCGTGGGCTTCACTGTCCATTGGCTGCCATGCATCGTCCTTTCTACGCAGGAGTGCGAGCTTGAGCTTGCTGGTCCGCTCCTTGCAAACCTGAGGCTGAAGGACGGCTTAATGAAGACCTCAAGGCCAGCTGAAGGAAGGCAGTGAAGGTGTACCTGCAGGTGGAAGAAAGGACTTTGATGGTCCACAAGGAGGCAAAATCCTTCGGGAAGCCTTTTGACTCCTCGTTGGTTTTATTCCCTCGTTTGGGGTGTGCGTTAGAGCAGTGTCGTTTCTGTGTTTTAGTGGGCTGTTTTCAAGTTTGGTGGGCTGTTTAAGAATTTGGTGGGCTGAACGTATTTCTTGTCTTTTGATTGTGAAGCAACCTTGGTGGGCTGTTGGTTTTTCTTTTTCTTTTTTTGTATGAGATTGTCGGTTTGTTTTTATTTATACAATTTGGTGGGCTGAACATCTTCCTTGTATTGTTCCTGAGGTGTTTGACCGCACTGCATGACATAGAGCGCATGGTTTAGAAGAAGTATGGTCCAGGCTATGATTCTGGCTTCCGTATGTGATTGACACCCTCCTCCCCCAGCGTCGTAAAGCCGTAGTACCACCCCAGCAGGGCCCAAAATATTTTTGTATACCCTGTTTGCCCTGATGAGCGACCGCTTTTTCCCAAAATCAGTGTATCAAAACTTTTACCCTAGAGCAAAAAGGCAAACATAAATTTCACCCTGATACAGATTTCTGTTACCCTGGCTGTATCGACATTTCAGAAATCTGTCGATAGCGGGAATAACCGATGGTTATTATAACATTCCCGAAGGCTTCCCTTAGCGCATCGCTTCATAACGAGGCAGCGCTTCTGTACCAGTATCGCATTAAGCTCATATAGAGCAAGCGGCAGCCTGAAAGCCACTCGAAGGTCAACAGTCGCAGGAAGTCAACGATCGCGACTGTTGACCACCCAGTAACCGTACTCGAAGGTTACACGATGCAATTTGGTAACTGTCAAGTAGAGCAATAGTCACGGTTACTGTAGCAATGTAATACAGTTAATAAGGGAATGTACCCCTCAGAGTATATGGCTAGCTAGGATTGCTAATAATATCCATGTACTCATATCTTAAATCATCTTGTTCTCTTTCAACTATTATTAACAAGGTCATTACAAGCAGGGCTCTCGTTATCAGGGTAAAACACCCTGATTGCACTGACTGGCGGCCGCTTTTTTTCAGTTACCCTTTTCCAGTAAGGGTAGTAGGATTTTTACACTAGGCTAAAATGTGTACGTTTTTTTTTCCCCTTTGGAAAACAGTATGGCAGAGTTTTTTCCCTGACTGTACAGGGTACTTTTTCATTTACACTGAAACCGAATTCTCGGTAGCGAGTATTTCAAAACCGACACAAGTGGCGAAACGGACACCAGGACCAACATACCTGGAATACGACAGCAAGCACAGGTGTAGTCTCGGGAAAATCTCCACGTCAAGCCGCGTAACCACACCATTGGCAGTTTTGCCTGCCAATTTGACAGCGCACCACGGAAACGAAGCCAGAGCAGCAATGGATAGCTGCCAGGCTTGTCTAGTAGCGCGCCGACAACACAGAGTGGCAGAAAGGCTGGCTTCGTGCTGTCCAGGGCAGCACATAGCAGACAGATGGTACCACCGTGAGCCATGAAAGGAACGCGCTGCGGGGTCGTCCTTGCCATCACGAGTGTTGGCAGAGGTTGTGCTCCCAAAGTCACCCCATCTTGTTCATCCACCTCATACTCTTCGTCTGGGGATCACCAACGAGGGTGTTTCACAGTCTCAATCATGCCTACCGAGCATCCACCAGATTCGCCTGGTGGACTGCGGAACGGCCTTAATGTGCTGGGTGTTCTTCCCCGCCTTGCAGACAACTTTAGCGTACCTATTGCCTCACCGTCACGTCCCGCCTCTCCAGTGCGCAGTGTAGGAACTGTGTACCCGTTCGAGCCTCCATCCACGTCGGCTGACTGGGAGCCGCACGCTTCAATCGTGCTTGTGGCATGCGGTGGTGAAGGCTCGTCCAGGGCCCCTCGCGGAGTCACCGTCTATTGTGAACAACACACCGGGGAAACGCCCACGGGTCGGAGCCAAGTACAAGCAGCAGCGGCTCTGGGGAGCTTCATCTCCTCGGAAAGATGCATCACCGCCCCGTCCTGCCGCTCCTGTTGATGTGGCTCCTCCAAAAACTACTGGTGATGTTATGTACGATGCCATTAAGCATCGTTTTGAGACTGAGTGGCGTGGGCAGTTCAAGTGGTTGCGTCTTGTTCGGTTGTCTAACGGAATCGCAAAGTTGAAGTGTGACATCTGCGTGCAGCATGGCGACCCCTCTGCGCACACAAGCTACGGTCTGAAAGGAGAGGGTGGCCGCGATCTTCAGATTGCAAGCGTCCGGGCCCACTCCGCCACGAGAGCCCACAAGAACGCGGTGAAGAACCAAGCGGATGCAGAAGCTGACAAGGCGAAACAAGCAAAACTCACCCGCTGGCAGGCGACGGACGCGTCAACACGGCACATCATGCGTGTGCTGCACATCGCCCTTTTCGTCTGCAAAGAAGATGCTCCAATCGCGATGTTCATCCCGCTTTGCTGGTTCTTGGCAAAAGAGGGTCTTCCCGACCTTCCCAACGGTGGCGGCTACGGCGCATACTACACGGAGTGAGCGCATGTAGAAGTTCGTGTCTGTTTTTAGTTGGATGGTGAGCCCGTTTTGACAACAGGAAATTGTTGTTGTGTTGTGCAGATACGGCTTCAGAGAGAACCTCCGCGCGATCTCTACGTACCTGCAAAAAGTGCAGTGGTTTCATTTGATGGAGTCGCCATGGATTGGCTTGTCCCTCGACGAGAGCACAGACCGAGTCCACGGGAAACACCTCATACTCTACGCAACCTTTTTCCGTGGCACCCTGTAGTGAATGAGTTTCTGACACTCATAACGTTGACCGTGCTGATGCCGCCTCTCTGACGTCTGCTGTGGTGCAGTACCTGACAGGGATTGGAATGGATCTTCATAAGATCTGTGCAATTTCAACAGACCGCGCGAGCGTGATGGTGGGGAAAAACAACGGTGTCGTCGCCCGTCTGCGCATGCGCGTCCCACACCTCGCCTCAACGCACTGTGTCGCACACCGGTAAGATTGTAGCCATGTTGCCACCGCTAATCCGTGGGCCCTTTAGTATGTATGTGTACTCATGCTGCCTTCTGTCCCCCCATGTCAGGGAAGCTCTAGCCGCCAAAGATGCAGCGGAGGCCGTCCCCGAGCTCTTCATGGTGGACGATGTCATTCGAGGCTTCGCCGATCTCATCGGCCGTTCAAACGTCAAGTACGATAAGTTCCAGAACATCCAACAGGTCTTCTGTAAGACTAACCTCGAAGCCCAAGGTATTCATGAAGTCCGTTGGCTGTCACGTGGTGAGGCCGTCCAACGGCTTCTTGAAATTCTGCCTGCGGTGATCGTGGTCTTGAAAGACTACAAGCCGAAGCTGTACGAGATTGCCACGTCGTTCAAGTTTCATTGGATGCTTCGTCTCCTGGCTGATGTTCTGTGGGAGTTGAACCATCTCAACCAACGGTTCCAGCAACGGCAGGTAAGGAGTAATGATTGTTGAGTGCATTCGTGTATCGGTTTTTACTATAGCTAACCATGTTCTGTGTGTTGCCTCTTCAGATCGACGTGACGCTAGTGGCGCACATCGTACAGCAGACAAGGTTGCGTCTGAAGAACCGCTACTTCAACCGTTCCCCCGACCATCAATTCGGCGGCGGAGAAAAGATGACGCTGAACGACTTCATTACGCATCATCAGAAGATGGACAAGCGGGAGGTCAAAGCGGAGGGCGTGGACAGTGACGGGGAACCAGTGTCCTTTGAATACACACTTCACGAGAGGAAAATCAAAGGGCACAAGTCGGGCGGTGACGTTACGGCCTGCTTCGAACTTTCGTTGAAGTTCGTGCGAGCGGTGGACAGTGAGCTTGAGTGGCGCATGAGGGACCTGGAGCATCTGGAGGGGACGAAGCTCTTCCGCTCTGCCTCATACGTAGCAGACGATGAGTGAAGGGCCGAGAATTTTAAGAAGTGGCTGGCGAAACTGAACAAGATGTACAAGAACCAGCTTCCAGGTATTCATCTGGATGTATTTCATATCCATTTATGCAAGCTGTTAGCCCCTTGCATTATCATGTGGAGCTGTGTATCTTCTCGCTCATTCGCTTGTGTCTGACTTCGGCTCTTTGGTTTAACAACCCCCTTTCCTCCCGATTGCTGCGAGTATAGCCCCTTATTTACTCACTCCCGTACCCCAGGCTTCGACTACACCAGAGAGCGAGTTGTGGATGTTCACGTCGACAATGGTGTCTCAACACAACAACGAGGACTTCCACCAGGCACTCGGGAACATGCTGCGTGATGATGCCTGGAAGCACTCGTTCCCGAACCTGATGAAGATGTGGCAAGCAGTTGCTGTGCTCCCTCTGAGCACTGTCGAGTGCGAGAGGGGGTTCAGTAAACAGAACCTGATCAAAACGTGGGGTCGTAAATGCCTCTCCGACGCCTCCCTGGAGCATCTGATGCGTTGTTCGCTGCTCCAGTACGAGGTGGACTGGTTTGAGGTGGTGGCTATCTTCCGGGGAGAGAAGCTGAGGCGGTCCACCAAGAACTTCTCTGGCACAATCCCGGGCGAGGGTCAATTCGCAGAAGTCGTTGTTGAGTCTTCTGTCCCTGGTAGTGGAGACTGAGTATTAGTAAATGGTGTGGTAGTGTATGGTAGGCCTTGTGTTGTGGCTAAACTTTGCAAAAGTGGGGTTTTTAATTCTACAACATTGGTCAGTGTTCTAGGTTTTTCACACGGCAAAAAACAGTGTATTTAAACTTTTAGGCTGACACATTCAGTATTTCGGAAATTATACCCTGTATTTCTCAGACTAACAAAAATAATACCCTAAGCATCAGTGTAGACTCAGACTGATACACTGATTCGTAAGGGTGGGCCAAAACCAATCTGAAGCCCTGATTACAAGACTTCACAGTCTTCTCACAACTTGGCCAGACTTACCTATCCTATCCATTACGATTCCCGGTTATATCAACATGGTATGAGAGCAATAGTGGATTATAAGACCTGCTAAGTTCATGTTCTTCCTAGAACAACTCTGTCAAACTTATATGCTGCATGTTGTGTAGGCTGTAGTGGGGTAGCCTATATGGGGTACAACCCAATTAGGGTTAGCACTTGTACCACATTTCTGATCAATGCACACATTCCTGCTCGTTAGTTTCTGACATGGTTTCAGAGCAGTAGGTCCGTAGGACCGTTTTTTTTTTTCGGGCCCACCATTACCTAGTGATCGACTGCGGTTACTGCGTTACCCCACGCCCTGCCCTGCGCTGTGCCGTCAGCGCGAGCCCTGCCCTGCCCTGCCTTGCGTCGCGCTGCCCCGCGCACGCCCTGCCCTGCCCTGCGTCGCGCTGCCCCGCGCACGCCCTGCCCTGCCCCGCGTCGCGCTGCCCCGCGCACGCCCTGCCCTGCCTTGCGTCGCGCTGCCCCGCGCACGCCCTGCCCTGCCCCGCGTCGCGCTGCCCCGCGCACGCCCTGCCCTGCCCCGCGTCCTGCTGCGCGTCACGCTCTACTGCAGCCCGTGCGTCGCGCCCTGCTGCCCTGCGCGTCGCACCCTACGGCAGCCCGCGCGTCGCGCTCTGCTGCCCCGCACGTCGCGCTCTGCTGCAGCCCGTCGCGTCGCACGCCCCTGCTGCCCGTCGCGCCGTGCGCCCCTGCAGCCCGTCGCGTCGCCCGTCGGCCCTGCCCGTGCCCGTCGCGTCCCCAGAGCGGGCTGCCCCAGCCCGCCGCGACGCCCGTCTGCCCTGCCTGCCTGCGCCCCGCCCCTGCCCGCCCCGCGTCACGCCGCCCCGTGCACGCCGCCCGCGCGCAGACCCTTGCAGCCCGCGCGCCGCCCGTCTGCAGCCCACGAGCCTCCCCTGCAGCCCGCGAACCGCCCCTACAGCCAGCGCGCCTGCCTCTTGCAGCCCGCGCACTGCCCCTGCAGCCCGCGAGCCACCCCTGCAGCCCGCACGCTGCCCCTGCAGCCCGCGAGCCGCCTCTGCAGCGCCCAGCGCGCCCTGCTAAACCCTGCTCTGGCCGCGCGCCGCCCTGCTCTGGCCGCGCGCCGCCCTGCTCTAGCCACGCGCAGCCCTGCTCTGACTGTGTGCCGCCCTGCTCTGGCCGCGCGCCGCCCTTCCCTGGCCGTGCACCGCCCCGACCTACCCTAGTGCCTCCTCGCCGCCCTTCCTGCCCTACGTGCTGCCCTGCTGGTCGCATGACTTCTCTTCACGGCAGCGGTGGGAGTGGTGGCGGCGGTGGCGGCAGCAGTTGGAGTGGTGGCGGCCTCAGTAGCAGTCGCTTTGGAGCTGTTCGGTGGGGAGTTTCTGGCGGTGGCCAGCTGCAGCTGCAGCGACGTCGAAGCGAGACCCTTACGCCCCAGCAGCTTCGTGAGTGGTACGCTCGTAGGTGTCGTGGCGGCGGCAGTAGTGGCAGTCGCGGTGCAGCTAGTCAGTTGGAAATTTCTGGCGGTGGCCTGGTGCAGCTGCAGCCGCGTCCGCACGAGACCCTTACGCCCCAGCAGCTTCGTGAGTGGTACGCTCAGTGTGGGGGGTCTAGGAGTAGTGCTCGCTGCCCGTACGTCATTCGCACAGGTGATCGGGCTGGTCAGACATGCGGGACACCTGGCCACACACAGTCCCGCTGCTTTTCATGTCTGAGCGACACCTGGCGTGCAGAGTTTGGCGACGCGGCTGAGCTCCCCCGCTGGCTAGAGCTGCTTAGGCAGGGCGTGGATGTCTTTGCGCTAGACTACGACGCTATCCTTACTGCCATGTATTGACTATTAGTACTCAGGGTGACTGTTACCTGTGTGTGCCGCCCGACCCTGGTATAGCGGCTGCTGCTTTAGGTGCTGGTGAGTCTGCTCTAGGTGCTGGTGAGTCTGCTCTAGGTGCTGGTGAGTCTGCTCTCTCTGGTACTGCGCCTGCTGAGGCCTTGCACACCTTCACGCTTGACTCATGTGCTTCCCGCTGATTCTTTCGTGACAGCACCACAGTCACACCACTCGCAGCACCGGTTGCAGTCTCTCTGGCTGACCCCTCTGGGGGACCGGTTCGTGCACGTTCCTCCACAGTTCTCCCGTGTCCGGCGGTTCCGTCTAGCTCACTGTCAGGTCTTCACCTCCCCTCGTTCTCTACGAACTTGGTGGGTAACACCGTCCTTCAGGATGCTTGGGTTGATACCTTTATCCCTGGAAGACAGCGTGTGGCGATCTGCACGTGTGCACGGACGGGCCGTCACCTGGCCACGTTCACCCGTCAGCCTGGGTCGAGCCTGTACACACTGACTACTGAGCCTCCTCAGGTAGCTGCGTTTGCGTCTGCGTCTGCGTCAGGTCAGCTAGCAGCCCCCTGTTCGTGTCGCCTCCTGTCGCACCAGACTCTCCTTTGGCACCACCGCCTAGGTCACCCCTCCCTGCCACGCCTCCGTGGCATGCACTCCCGCCTCCTTGTCTCTGGTCTTCCCAGGTCTCTGCCTCCCTTCCCACACTCGTCTGCCCCTCCCTGCCTTCCTTGTGTCGAGGGGCGGCAGCGCGCCGCTCCTCACTCCTCCTCGTTTCCCCCGACGACTGCTCCCCTGCAGACTCTCCACATGGACGTGTGCGGCCCAGCCCGCGTCCAGGGACAGGGCCGCGAGCGATACTTTCTGCTGGTTGTTGACGACTACTCGCGTTACACCACGGTCTTCCCCTTGCACAGCAAGGGGGCGGTCCCTGATGTTTTGATCCCTTGGATCCGCGCTGTCCGTCTCCAGCTCCGCGAGCGGTTCGACACGGACCTTCCTGTCCTGCGTCTGCACTCTGACAGAGGTGGTGAGTTCTCCTCCGACCTCTTGCGGGACTTTTCTCGTGGGGAGGGCATCCTCCAATCGTTCACGCTTCCGGCCTCTCCTCAGCAAAATGGGATTGTTGAGCGCCGCATTGGCTTAGTCATGGAGGTGGCTCGTACCTCCATGATCCATGCGGCTGCTCCCCATTTTCTGTGGCCGTTTGCGGTCCGGTACGCTGCGCATCAGCTCAACCTCTGGCCCCGTGTCTCCTTGCCGGAGACCTCGCCCACACTGCGTTGGACGGGAGAGGTTGGCGATGCGTCGGTGTTCCGGGTCTGGGGATGTCGTGCCTTTGTCCGCGATACCTCCGCGGACAAGCTCTCCTCGCGCGCCGTTCCCTGCGTCTTCCTTGGCTTTCCCCCTGACGCGCCTGGTTGGCAGTTTTACCACCCCACCTCGCGCCGTGTCCTACCCTCTCAGGACGTCACGTTCGACGAGTCGGTTCCCTTTTACCGTCTCTTCCCCTACCGCACTGCCCCTCTCCCCCCCCCCGCCGCTCTTCCTCGCTCCAGGTCCCCCTCCGGTAGACCCCCTCCCCCTTAAGGGTCCTGCTCCTTCAGGTGTGTCTCAGGTAGACCCACTCCCCTTGGTTGAGCCTGTCAAGGTCACTGGTGACTCTGGTGCTGCTCGGGGTGCTGCGTCTGGGGGTGCTGAGCCTGCGGTTGCGGAGCCTGAGCGTGCGGAGCCTGGAGGTGCTGAGCCTGAGCGTGCGGAGCCTGGGGGTGCTGAGCCTGCGGGTTTGGAGCTTGGGGGTGCTGAGCCTGCGCGTGCGGAGCCTGGGGGTGCTGATTCAGGGGGTGCTGAGCCTAGGGGTCCTGCGTCTACACTACGGGAGCCTCTCTCACCACAGCAGTTGCGCGAGTGGTACGCTCGGCGCTGTAGCCTTCGGAGTGGCGCTGCTGGAGCTGGACACCCTGGAGCTGCTAGTCTTGGAGGTGCTGGAGGTACTTCTGGTACTGGAGGTACTGGAGCTGCTGGAGCTGGTGGTGGTGCTGCTGCTGGAGGTGCTGGCGGTGCCGGAGGTGCTGGAGCTGCTGGTCCCGGAGGTGCTCGTACTGGAGGTACTGGAGCTGCTGGAGCTGGTGGTGCTGCTGCTGCTGGAGGTGCTGGAGGTGCCGGAGGTGCTGGAGCTG